GAGGAGAAAGTGGGGAAGAAGGTGGTGAAGAAGGTTCTGAAGGAGGAGGAAAAGCCTATGATCGATCCGTTGCTCGAGGTCAAGGAGCAGGATCAACCCGATCCTCCCTACCGTTTGAATCTCATCCTATTGACGTCCAACATGAAGATCTACGACGAGAACGACGAGACGATCGATCAGGTCCACGAACAATTAGCTTTGGAGAAGCTCAAGTACAATCATCCACCCCCATACGTTCTGCCATCGAATAAGATCTTGATTAAGCTTCTCGAGGCGAAACGAGCCAAACGATCCATCCCATCTTTGGTGTCCAGGTTCTCCATAGACTCGAGGCTGGACGTGAAAAAGAAGGCGCCAATATACATATCGAAATCGGCCGTGGTCATGCCGACCGTTCCTGAACTCTACGAGCCGATACCCTCGAAAATGATCAAATTGTCTCCCAACAAATACCTGTACTCTAGAATTTTACCGATATGCCTGATGCCTCTCAGAGCTATCGACGATATGTACATCCAGGACGAGACCCTCGCCAAGGCTATAAAGGAGAAAGAGATCAAAAGATTGGAGGAGGAGAGGAGGCGTGCCCAAGAATTCGTGAAACAGGACGCGCCTGAGGTACCGGTGGGAATTCGAATACGACCATATTTGTTGATGCTCGGCCCGATCATCAAAACACCGACCCCTGAGAAACGATTAACCATGACCTGTATCGAGAAGAAGAAACGGAAGTGTCTGTTGCCCAAGGACGACGAGGGTGACGCGCTTATGGAGAAGATTCTCTGCAACACCGAGGATTTGTTGCTAGAATTGTTTTTCCCCGATTTCAAAGCGAAAACTGATCAGGTTCGTATATATATCGTACATATATACGATATTAAAAAGATATTTAAAAGAGAAATATATATATTTATTCGCGCTTATTATTATTATTATCATTCTTTCGTTGATCGTTTCCCGCGATACGATGCACAGTTGGAAACGAAAATAATGGAGACGAGAAGCAAGCAGATGTTGGCCAGATTAATGGAGGGAGAAACGTCGACGATCAGGAAGTCGCCAACCGGTGGCGGGAAGAAGAAACTGTTAAAGGATATCCCTGGTTTGAAAGTGAGCTTCGAATTCGTTCGATCGAGTTCGTTCCATCCAGCCATTATTACGAATAATAATTCCTTTCTCCCTCTCCCCCTCTCTCTCTGATCTCAAGCTTACCGAGGATGGGATCCGAATAATATCCGGCAGCATGTGCTACGACAACCGAGCCGTGGTCGAAGCCTGCCACTACAAATCTTGCTTCTTCTCCGCTCTGTTGTGCATCCTGACGAAGATCAAATTGGACCCGGACAGCTTCTCCGGCAAGACTCTCGATCAGCTGATATTCCTCGGGGACAAGATCTATCAGAAAACCGGGAAGCTTCGATTCAAGCCGTATCGATGGTTCCACCACATAGAGATCCTGGACACGATTTACAACGTGATCACGAAACAGATCATTTACGCGGATCCCGAGAATTGCGAGGACGACGACCTGGAGTTCGTGACGGACAACTTCTTCGAGAAGAACAAAACGGGGATCATCGTGTTCGCCAATTGCTCGTACGCCGTTTGGACGGCGAACGAACGATACTACTTGTTCGATCCTTATCCGTGCGACGACAACGGGGTCGCTTCCGAGGAGGGTTACTCCTGCCTGATGGAATTCTGCGACCTGGCCTCGATGATGGAGAGGATCGAGAAGAACGTAGGCGAGAACACGAAGAAACCGTATCGAGTGTACACGATATGCATAGCCCACATGGAGAGCAGGAAGCGGAAGAAGAAGCGAAAGAAGAGGACGGGCCGCGTGGTGGAGAGAAGCGCGGTG